TCCCTGACCCTGCTAAGGGTCAGGCACAAGTCGCACTGGCACACTCCTTCGGAGGAGTGGCCAGTGGCCATAACCCGCAAGCCGAAATCTGGCGGAACGCAAACCTAATTCATCTTTACATACCGGGGCGTTACATCATATTGCATTTACAACTACACCACAGAACATTACATACACGTCCCAACACATCAAATTGCATTGCACCGCATTGCGAACACATTGCAAACGTTGTGCAACATGTGCTTGTTGTAGAGTGCCACCTTGGAACCCTCCCTGCCGTCAAATGGCACCGTAGGCATCCATAGCGCCGCCACAACCTCGCGCGCCAGCTGCAGGATCTGCCACTTGTCGGAGGCTCCCTTCTGCCAGTGCTGCAAGCGGCTCAGCGCCTGACAGGTGCGATCACAAATCCAAACCTTTTTTTAAGCCCACTGTCAATCTGATGGTTCAATACCCAGTCCGCCTTACCAGGCACTCCAGCTCCGGGCCTCAGCCCGATTTCGCCGGCGAAATCAGCCGAGGCATTGGGCTGATTGGACCCTTTGAGATGGTATAGGGAACCTACTCCGGCGCAGGTGGTGTCAAGTTCCACGTAGACGTTGGGGGCCTTACCACCGAAACAAGTTGCTTTCCCTGCTGATTTGCAGTGGACAAGAGTTTACATCATCATTTCAGAGTTCCGACCTAGCCCAGCTGAAGCGTTCAAAGGGAACGTGCAGCTGGTAGTGTTGGGAATATCGCCTTGACTGGTAAAAGCCTCCACCTTCACCGTGAGCCCATCAATGCGCGAGACTGGGCAAGTCTGCTTTGTTCCAAGTGGCCCAGCTTTCGAAGCCATGGGTGCATAGGCATCATCTATGGATCATCTACTTCTGTTGGCATGTCATGTGAAAGCTTCTGGCTGAAACCTAAGAAGCGCATTATTTCCAGCCAGTGGCTCAACATCATGTTTGCATTCTGCAACAACAGAGCGTGGTTCTGTTTTACTCTGACGTCGTGAAGTCGAAAGCTGAGCCAATGCATTCGAGCGAGACTCATCTCTCTTGAAGGCCTTGGCGAGGCAGAGTGAGCGCAAAACAATCCGGCCGCCAGAATTGTGACTTGGTGACTTGGCAAGCAAATCCTTGATGCGAGCACGCATGGCTGAGATCAGTGAAACCTGCGCTCTTCCCGGAATTGGATGACGGCAGCAAATGCGCCGAACCCAAGCCGAATAAAATGAATGAATGGACTCCTGGAGAATACATGAACGAACGAAGGGAGGGAATGGAATGGAATGGAAGGGAATGGAATGGAAGGGAATGGAATGGAAGGAAAGGGAATGGAATGGATTGGAATGGAAGGGAATGGAATGGATTGGAAGGGAATGGAACGGATTCGAAAGTAAGCAAGTAACGAATGAACGAACAACGAACGAACAAACAAACAAACGAATGCTCGAATAAAGATGGAAAGACGGAAATAATGAAATAATGAAAGAATGACAGAATGAAAGAATGGAACGGAATTGAACAGAATGGAACGGAATGGAATGGAACGGAATGGAATGCAAATCAATAAAACAAATGAAATATGTAAAATGAATGAAATGAATGAAATGAATGAAATGAATGAAATGAATGGCATGAATGATTGAAATGATTGAAATGATTGAAATGATTGAAATGAATGACATGAGTTATTAAATGAATGAAATGAATGAAATGAATGAAATGAATGAAATGAATGAAATGAGTGAAATGAATAAAACCAAAATGGCATGACACGAAATGGAATGGAAGGGAAGGGAAGGATGGATGAATGCATGCAGGGAATGTATTGGTTAATCTACCCTGTGCTCACTCCAGCTGACACGCCACACCTGAGGTGTGCAACTCCCTGCAAATCTCTCGGTTCTTTCACCAACATTGGTCCTTTTTGTTGGCCAGCACGAGCACCGGAGCGTCATGCAGCTCCTGAGACTGTGCATGGAGTTGCCTGCTGCTTCACATACCGCACCGAGAGGCCTCTCCGATGTCATGTCATGTCATTTGACTTCGGGCATCGAGCCTCAGCTGGCCCTCAAGGGATGGCTTGAAGTGATAATCTCTATGCACCGCCTTGGTGACGAAAGCCGACCATATGCCCTCGCGCTGTTGAAGAAAAGAATGCGAATTGGTCAAAACTCTTTGAGATGGGCATTGGCGTCCTTGCTGCGGCCCTCACAATGAATGATCCTCGGAGTTCCCTACGCCGTCGCGGTCTGTGACCGTGCCAACCAACACGTAACAGGGTGTTGACCAGGCGTCGACCCTTTAAACTATATACATATATATATATATATATGTCTCAACCGATATCCTGGCTTCCATTCACCAGGGCAACCCCCATTTTCGGCTTATCCGATTTTTGTTGACCCACAGCCCTTGGGTTGAAACCGGCTCCCTTTGGCTCCCTTTCGCTTCCAGGCCCGGCCCAACCAGCTCTCCTCCTCGCGCAGGAGAGCTTGGAGGGCTTCGCGGGCTGCTGGAAGCCTGCTCAGAAAGCCAGCGAACCCATCTGCGTGTTTTGCTCGTCCCCTGGGAAAAACGGGGAATGTATGTGTGAAATCGGGTCCCTTGAAAAAACTGGGGAAAAATAAAAGGATGTTCTGAACCAAATGGAAGGAACCCCAACTCAGGGAGAAGCCCACAGCTCGCTTGCAATGTCTTTCAAGCTCCCGACTTGCCGTGCCTTTCATGATCTGCACTATCCAGCACAAAGATCAAGGCATTGCCACCCTGCAAAGTCAAGCACACTCAATGCAATGAGCCATGGCAGGCAGAGTCGGTTTCAGCACCGTACTCTTGAAAAGCCGGCAATGACATGGGCCTTCATTTATGGAAACCACAGTTCCACAAGTTATACAAGTGCTCTCCCAATGTGAGCCACCAGCATCGACAAAGCTTCCTTCCGCCTGTTCTGCCCTGAACGTGCCTTGTAGTAGTGCCGCCAGAGGTTTCGGAGCTTCTCTTGGCCTGTGCCCCGTCCCGCGGCTTCGCTCATCTGATGCCGTGCCGAGTGCCGAGTGCCGCACCGCCCACGTCCCAAACGCACAGGCTGAGGTTGCCGTATTGGACCTCCGACGCAACCAGAGTCAAGGCGACGTCATGTGCTCGAGCGGGATGGTTGTAGCAGCTGTAGCAGATTTGCCCAGCATCAACGCCTCAAGGTCTCTGAAGCACTCCATGCTGGCGAGCGGCTGTTTCCACGTTGAAGCCGATGGTCGGGACGGTCCTGTGAGTTTCGGTTTGTTCCCGGGCGCCAGGGTCCAGAAAGGGGACTGACGGGCCATACCTCTGCACAACTCTCACTAAATTGGCCAGCTTGTGTTTGGAGCGCTTTCCATGTGGATAACGTGCGCATTGGCTGTTGTCTGTCTTAAAATTCTGTGAAAAGAGTTCGTGCAGATTTGGAGTTCGAGCTGAAACCCTGTCTCGCCAGCCAACTTTGACCACAACAATGCTCATATGCTGCGATTCAAGCTCGGGGAAGAAGCAATATGTTGCGGCACATTTTAGCCGAAGCTCGAGAGAACCTCTCCAATCTTCAGCTTGTACAGGATGGTAGTCTTGCCAGCCTGGAACTTGGATGTGACAGTCCCTTGCACGTGGCATGCGGTTTCCGGAACAAGTCTTCCCTAGAAAGCGTCTGAAGATCTGCGATGTATGTTGCCATGGCAATAAGTTGGTTGCTCCAATCTGTCCATGCCAAACTCTATTGTCAGTGGGCTCTTGCTAACTCTCTCAGGCCTAGTTCCTCCATATGTTGCAATGTCGAGCTGGATTAAGCAATCTGGTGAATTACTAGGTGGTGTTCCCCACAATCGTGAAGGACCCCGATTCATCGAACTGGGGCTTATCATTTTCAGTCCAAGGCTCCCGTGTGGGGCAGTGCTTTTGAGCGTACCCTTTTGGGGCTTGGCCGGGAAACCACTGGCACTGGGAAACCAACTACTTGTTGATGCCCTCTATGTTGACACAAACCCATTTTGCTTCGTCCGAGGCACTGCATCCAGGCCCAGCATCAGGACATTGACCTCCTTGGGGCCCCATATCAGCTGCCAGAGTCGACCGAAAGAGAGGCCCATACTACCTGCGCTGTGCCATCGAAGTCTTGTGCCATCAATCCCCATGGTCATTGGGGCTCATGGAGTCATGGTTCCCTTAACAATCCTACCACGGTCGAAAGTCCCGATTGCTTTGACTACCAGGGGGTTTTGGCAGTGACATCTGTGCGTGGCTGTGCCAACGCCACCCCGCCTAGGCAGAAGGAAACCCCAAGCGCTACTTGAGCCAGGCACTTCCGCCAAGATCTTCAAAGATGGCTCCCAGCTTGAATGGTGGTGCACCAATCATCTCCCTCAAAGGCATCATTCCAGCTTTCCCCGACATCGCCAAAGCTATAGCTTTCACGACCCTTGGTGTCCTTTTGACCTATGTTCACGTCATGTTGTAGTGATGAGAAAACTGGAAACTGCACCCTCAAACATGATTTTGACCCAGGACGAATAAAGCTATGTTTCATCATAGACGGTGTTGGACAACGCCTGGCCGGTCTCTCCCAATTGGCACCAGTTCCTACGCCGGGTGCCCGGCTGACAAAAGAGCGGATCCGCCAGGTTGTCCACGGTATGCTGGCCCGGGATAGTGTCAGCAGTGTCGACTAAAACGTCAAGGATGGCAGCCGTCCCCTTCCGCAAGAAAAGTTGGCTTCCATTGGAGCTGGCGGCTTCTTGTGAGACAACGTGTCGGGAGGGCTGCATCTACTGCTCTGAACAAGCTTCTTTCTTTGGTGTCTGGACAAGCTCAATTGACTGACTGACCTGCCACTTGCACAAGCTATGCAGCGCACCCGCCAGTAGCCAGTTGTCCGTTGGGAGCTGTTGTCCTGAACCGATGAGAGTCCAAGTTCTGCACGGACTAGCATGAACATCAGCAGCATACCGCGCCTCATTGGAAAAGACCGCGGCATAGCCCAGCTTAAAGCCGCAGGCAAAGGGCACTGGCTGCGTCACCGAGTCCTGGACAGCTAGCGGTGCAATCATGGCGCACTTTCGGCAAGTCCTCAAACCGCACGTGGAAGTTGGCGATGTTCACCTGGCCACTGAAGTTTTTAGGTTCATGCCGACGGATTCATCAACCTAGTGGATTGAAGGTTCCCAAAGAGAAGGATCCGCTCCTAGCTAGACAGGGGGGTATTCATTACAACACAAGGGACATGCCTGTGACACACTCACAAGGCCCAAATCGCCTCGATCATCTCAGCCACCTTCTTCATCAGGTCTTGCTTGATGCGGGTCTGAATATCGCTGAGCCACCCGGTGGCTGTCTCCTGCTTCAATTCTCTTCGGATGCCATGATAAAACGGGAAGCACAATGCCAAGATGTATGCAATGCAAAGCACAATACTCTAGGATAGTTTCCACCACCCACCTAAACCACTACCCCCTCCCCACCCCCACCCCCAAAAAGTATCATACATGTGTGTATATATATAATATATAAATGGTCCCGTGTCTATGGTCCTGGGGTCCCACCCACCTTCCGGGAGGGGCAGGGTTCAGAGGTTGTGATAAAAATCATGTTTCCGGGCCCCCCCTCCCCCCCCCTGTGGAGTCGTGGTGGGTGACTTTTCTGTTGCAAGCATCGGGTGCAGTAGAGGCTATATTAAAATGAAAGACGACCCTGCCAGTAAATGAGGATCGGGAAAAAGTCTAGGGTTTATTTGCCGATAGGGCCAACGTTTTTGAACGGACCCCCCCCCAACCCCGCCTCCCCCCCCCATACCATACCATGGGGGGGTGGGGCGGTTGTAGTGGTTTAGACTGGGTTTAGGGTTGATCTAGTTGTAGTGGTTTAGGATGGCTTAGGGTTGGATTAGAGTGTGCTTAGTGTTGGTTTAAGATATGTGTTTAAAGTTGGTAAAAGGTTGTGGTTTACGGTTGGTTTAGGGTTGACTAAGTTGGTTCCGGCTTGGTTTAGAGTGTGTTCAGAACGTGTCAAGTGCTGGTTTAAAGATGTGTGGTTCGAGCTAGTTTAGGGTTGGTCTAGGCTTAGTTTAGGGTTGGTTTGGGCGCAGGGCGTGCCGAGGTGTGGGTTTAGGGGGTGAAGGGGCTGGGGTTTGGGGACCGCAGTAGCAGGGCTTCTCGTGAGGGTCTGGGTTCTGGGGGGGGGGGGATACCATTGGGGGGGGGGACTGGGAACCGAGCCCGGGACCATATATGGGTGCGGCTCAAAATTAAACAGCTACGGTTACGCAGGTTTTAATCTTTGGTTCCATTTACCAAGGTGCCATTTTGGTACATTTATTTGAGCCACAGCCATATGGGTTTATACCCTTTAACTTTAACTATTGTTTCCTGCTGGCCATGCTGTGTGGGTATGCCGCTATTGCTTGGAAGCACTGATGATAAAGGAGAATCGAGCCCTGCTTCACGGTGCCACGCAAAGCTCAGCGTTATGCTGCACAGTGCAAAACCCGTGGCTTCGTCTCCCGAAAAATTGCTCAAGTTAAGTGCCTCATGTGCTACAGCTGATGATGCTGATGCTGCTGATGATGACAACCACGACAACCACGATGATGACCCGATTTGGAAGCCCGCGGACTTGCTCCTGCCTTCAACCACCCGCACTCGAAGCAAATTGAAGTGGTGGGCAAAGCTTAGTGGTGAAAGTTCACAAACATTGGCGTCGCCATACTGGTTGATTCTTGCAATCGCACGAAGGTCGTGGGCAAATCGGGCGTTGTGCTTCACAGACACAAAGCGCCTGATATACCCAAGCTGTGAACAGTTGGAAGCTGTCGAGCGACTTTGCTCTTTCTGTGCTCGAGCCCAGGCCATTCCTTGGTGACCGAGTTGGGAAACACGTAGGTCACTTCTTCCTGCTCTGATGTTTCTTCTTTGTAACTGTCTCTTCTACGAACCGGATGCCCGCCAGATTGTACCAGCTTGCTCCTCTTCACCAACAGGCTTCCGACAAACGCAGGGCAACTTCGATACCAAAGGCAATAATGCAGCAATAACAAGCGCAGCACTTGCAGCACGCCCACTCACAGGCGTCATGGCACTCGCGTCTAATGCAGTCTTTCTTGCGAGATTCCTCATTTCAGGATGTGCCAACAGGATGTTAAGTTCAAGTCGGTAGCATGCGATATGTCGACGAATGTTGCTGTCTCAATCGATTGGGAGTATCTTGATCCACAGCCAGAACCCTCTCATGGTCGATTCCTCATCAACGAGGGTGTGCTCATTCGCATCAGGCTCATGTTGCTTTTGGAAGACTTGTAAGTGATGCCTACCTTTCTTGGCTCCATGGCATTTTGCTGGAGCATTAGGCTCCATGGCAGATCTCTCCGGTCCAGAGCCGCCGGCCTCCAGCGCCACCGGGATCCTCAATGAAGATGTTTTCTGCTGGAAGGGCCCGGCTTTGAGCTGGCGAAGTGGGGGGTGTCGTGAGGGCCGAGCTTGAAACTCTGCTCCATGGCAGGGATGCCGAAGCTTGGGCACGCGGATGAGTTGAGGCACTGATGATGGACGAAGAATCCCCTATTCCGAGTTGCATTGCTGCGAATTCAGCGGCATGCCTCAGGTGAGAAGTGGCAGAGGCAACGGGCTGCTGATTCTGAGGCGTCTTTCATCTGAGGCGTCTTTCAAAAGCTTCTTTTTCAGACAGGCGACACTTGTTTGTGTCTTCGGGCACTTTCCACTTTGTTGCTCTTCTCGGACAAATCCACAAAGGCGAAACTTTGACTTTCCCCGACCAAACGGCGACATTCCCCGACCAAAGGGCGACTTTCCCCGACCGTGTTTCCCGCCAAAACTGAAACGAGACTGTTGCTGTGCAACAGCGTTTTTCGACCAAAGGACTGACATTTGAGTTTTTTCGGCAAACGGCGGGAAACATGCACAGCTGAATCTGCCGGAGGTTGTGACCAAGTAGTGGTGTGGGGCAGTGAAACAATCTTATGTGCATGTTCCAACCCCCCCAGCATTTCCTCAGCTGCTCGGCGCTTCTTTGCGGGCTTCAGCTCCTTGGCGGACTCAACTTGGCAAGGCTGTTACTGCGATTCACTTCTTTGCCATACAGGCCATGCACGTTGATCTTATGTGCCAAGGATGTGACAAGCTCCACAGGCTTCCAGTTCAGTGACAGGAGCTTATTCAACGCAAGTGGCAGCGTGGTAAAACGAAACCTCATTGGCCAAGGATCAAGGATCTTCATGACCAAGTCCACGATCTTCGATTTGCACTGCGGCGGACTCATAATGGAAATCACGCAAATTGGTTTCGACGAAAAGGCTGCACATTCAACCAGGCCTCTCACACAAACCACTGGCGCATTTTGCACTGGCGACTTGCGCATGGCAGCTTGCGCAATCCAGGAGTTCTTAAAATAGCTAGTGATGTGACACCTTCTGCCTCTAGCTCGAGTTGCAATTTAGAACCTACCCTGGATGGTTCTGCATGGCGACAACTGGCCTCTTGGTGATCCTATTCGCAACACGCTGGCAAAGTCTTCCTGCCTGCTTCACATGGTCATAGGACCAATCTGTCGTTTGCGGGCCGAAGAGCAGGAAAACATTCTTGATGAGAATCTGGAGGGAGACCTGACACAATCATGCCAAGCGCCAAGCTCCTGAACTCTTTCGGCAGCTTATATGTATGGTTTAAAGGTTTAAAGGTACAGCATGAAAGGTGGCGTCAAGCTACTAGTTTGTTTCGATATTGTTGTTCTTGCAGGTCCAATCTTGTCTTGAATGCGGCTGTAGAAAACGGCGCGCTAGCGCTTGTAACGCTAGGTGTAGGTGCCAAATAAACCATCGAGAAGAAAGAACAACATCAGGGAGATTCTGCGTGGGGATTCTGAGTACTTGGGGAATCCACGGTATGCAGAAATCTCCGAGCGCGATGCATTGCCGCCACGATTGAAGACATCAAGATGCAAATGGATTGACCTGCAAGGCACTGCATTTGTCTCAGAGGTGAACCCTCAAACTGGTTGCCAATTGCTACATGCTCTGGCAAATGTGACGGTCTCTCAGTTTCCATGTTTCAAGAGTCGGGTCGCTTGCTCCTCTCTTCGCTGGCAGCACCCAGGTCCCGCCCGAGAGCAACCAGCTGGGCATCTGGGCACCCCGGCAATTCATCGATGAAACCTCCTCGTAGCGTCACAGGCAGGTGCAGGCCATCGAAGGCTTGGCCGACGATGGAGGCCTCGTGCGTAGTGCGCGTGTGGATAGAGATGTGCATGGGCATACGCAAGGCGGCATGTGCATGATCTCCCGAACAGTAATCACAATGACAATCATGAATAAATGTTTCCCGGAAACTCCCAAGTCTGCAACACTTAATTCAGAATTTAAATACGCCAACTCTAACCCAATATTAAACTAGTGAGAATGCTTGGCGCTTTCCCCGCCCTCGGACCGCAAATCCCGCTGCATTGGGAAGCCCAATACTAAAGCAAGAACCAAGACTCAACTTGCACAAATCCGCAAAATGTCACCGATGTCTGCTCTTTCACTTCCTTCCTCAGCGTTTGGTACGACTTTTGGGCCCGGATTCTGAAGAGCGCCGAAGAGCACTGAAAAGGACTGAGCCCGAGGAACCGCAAAGGACCGAACCGGAGCTCAGGCTCCGCTAATAATCCACCCACCCCTTCTTCACAGGGTGCCGGGGAACGACGGAATGCGTAGAACACGCGCAAACAGCCAAAACTCCCACGCCAAACTACGTAAACTATTAAATTGACACCATCAGCATCCCATGGCGGCTACGAACAGTACATGCGCACGTGGGGATTACTTACACAGCTTCTGGGACCAGATCTTCTTTGTGTTTAGCGAAGGTGTGAGTCTGTTCTGGGCATCTGGGGCTCGATTCCACCCTGGCACGGGCGACGAGGGATGCTGGGGGTCTCAACTGGGGATGACGGGGAGGGAGCCTTTGACTTATCTACAGGATTTGCTTGTTTTCCTTAGACACTGTTTACCGTCTTACGCCCCAACAGGGATCAAATCCTATTGCTGCTGAGCTGAATATGTGCATCAATCTATTGCTGGAAAATTATGGAGCTATATTCCACCTTCGGACATTCATACATACGCAAATACACATTGCATGTGTATGCCGGTCAAAAACCGCAAGTGTGTTTCTTGCATAACTGTGACAGCAGTGCCTGCATGCTTGGCACATGTACACAACGAACAACAGTGCGTGGATGCGTCGCACATATTGAGCACACGGACAACAGTGCGTGCATGCTTGGCACGTGCAAAGGACACGGACAACAGTGCATGCATGCTTGGCACATGTCAAGCACGCGGGCAAGAGTGCGTGCGTGCTTGGAACATGTCCAGCACACACACACACACCCACGCACGCACGGACAACAGTGCGTGCATGCTTGCCAGGTGCAAAGGACACGGACAACAGTGCATGCATACTTGGCACATGTCAAGCACGCGGGCAAGCGTGCGTGCGTGCTTGGAACATGTCCAGCACACGGACAACAGTGCGTACATGCTTGGCACGTGCAAAGGACACGGACAACAGTGCATGCATGCTTGGCACATGTCAAGCACGCGGGCAAGAGTGCGTGCGTGCTTGGAACATGTCCAGCACACGGACAGCAGTGCGTGCGTGCTTGGCACATGTTAAGCACACGGGCGTTATATAGTCACACGGACAAAAGTGTGTGCAGGCTTGGCACATGTGAAGAACGCGATCAACAGTCCGTGCATGATTGGTACATGTGAAGGCACATGTTGCGCACGGACATGTAAGAAGCGCAAGGTTCGCAGAGCATGCACGATGTGGACCACGAGGTGTTGGAACACTAAAAACAAAGTACCGCGGCTGTGTGGCAGGCGTAGGGTCTGAGAAATGAGCTACAACCCGTTATCGAATTCGAATGGTCTTAGCATGAATACGGTGTTCGTCTCAGGGGAATGCTTGTTTCTATGAATCCCACTGTATCTGCATTGACAAATGGTGCCCAGTTGCAGCACAAGAGCTGCGACATGCCATTCATGTGACCAGCTGTCAAGGCAAGCGCTCCTCGTCGTCAATTCACCCGTTCGGTTGTCGCACATATATGTGCAAAATCAGCATGTACATGCGTAGCCTATGCATGTGGGCATGCATGCCTCAAAATGGATTGTACGAAGAAACGTGCATATTTGGCACACAGTCAGCAAACAGACTCAGTGAGAAACTTCCGCCATGTACGGGTTTGAGAAGGAATATGAAATTTGGAAAGATTGAAGAGACCAGACAAAGATAAGAAAGCGATGCTCGGTGCTCGCTCGCTCAGCGCAGTTTCAGCAACGATCCTGAAAGTTCTCAGCTTTGCAGTCTGAACAACTCGCTTGTTTTTTGCGCCTTCCCTTGATCAAGCCTGTGCAGACTTGGGGGTCTGCCTTCCAAAGCTTCTTACTTGCCTCTCTGGGCTCCGCTGAGAAAGCAACCACGACTAAGCAATTAAGTAAAAATGCAGTACGCAGTACACCTTGTACCTTGCACGCGGCTGCGATGCGGGTACGGGCGGGCGAGGTGTGAGCATGGGCTCCCGAGCCTTCTTCAAAACGAACTGCCCGGTGGCGGCGTCGACGCGGAGATTGCCCGCGTCAACCTGTTTTCAGCGCATCGTGCTCAGAGTCAAGTCACATCAATTGTGCTGCCAAGTCTCATCTCTGTAAGGTACCATGTTCTTGCTGGAAATAAATCTGCAATCTTGTGATTGGTTTAGCCGCCCTTTTGATCCTCTTTAAAACCCTTCGCTTTTTTTTGGCAGCTTCTCGCTAGGGGAAGCCTGGCTGCCACTGCCCAAGATCAGCCACTCGCAGCTCGTGATTTGGCGGCCTTCAGGAAGTCACCTACTTTCTTGTCGAAGAACTGCTTGATGATGGCCTCGGCAAAGCGGCCAAGCAGCACAAAGAAACCAGAGGCTTTAGCTTCCTCGTGAAGGGTGACATGTTTTTTCTATGCGCAAATACTCAGCATGCGCAACTGCATGGCCAGCCTACAAAGTTGTGATTGCTGGAGAAGAATTAAGCTGCAACTGGGAAAGTTCTTTCACCCAGGCCAAACGTGAATAAGGAATATCCCAATATGATGTCACTGTGCATATACTCCGAAAAGCTACTGGATATGGTTCCATCATTGCTGAGTCTCTGCGTCCGCCACCTGCTTGCATTTGCAGTTTAATTTCTTTGCCATCCACTGCTCGCAAACATCGAGCAGAACCACGGCTTCCCATGAAGCAGCTGAGGCCTCCACATCCATATGATTGATGAGAACCCTTCAGGTTGCTCATCTGCCATCTAGGGCGCAAGGGCGGCGGATTGTCCGCTTCTTTGGCCCGCCTAAGGCAGTCATGCACTTGAAGCAAGGAAACTCTGCTGTGTGCAAGGCCATGTATGCCCAGCATATCCGCGTGCCAAACACGCGAACTGCCAGAAGTCCTAATGCTAGCGTCTGCTTTGAGTACACGCTGAGACTGCTCACGTGGCTGTTTCGCATTTGCCTCGGCGTATGTCGCCAGGCCTGACACTCGGCCGTGCGCCTCTGACATGAACCTGATGTGAAGCTGCGGCAGTTCTCCCGCTCTCAAAGTGACCTTCGCATCGCTAGGAATCGCATCCTTTAGGCGATCGCCAGCAAGGCTCACTGCTAGAGAGGCGCCAGGTCGCGAGGTTGTAAGTCCACAGGATGAGAAAATAATGTGAAGTGCCACGTTCAACATGCTAAATGTCGGCTTCTGATCGCAGTACAGTATTGAACATAGTTGTACAGTGCTGAACATAGTTTGGCGACATGTCTTGGGCAAATTGATCAAGCGACTGGGTCGCTTTCGACCCTTTGGCGGCTGTTGCCAGAGACAAAGTAGCAACCAACTGCAAAACGCCACGGTAAATACACTGGCAAGCTGACTCTTCAAGATACTTCCCATGAAATTGTACCAGAAGTATCTGAGTTTGTTCCTCAATTCTGGACAAGGAGTCGCAACTTCGTGTGTTTGGCTGGTGGCACGAAGCTTGCACTACATAATATTCTCCAGCAACCAGTTGCAAGCGCCAGACCCTGTGTCACATTCGGGCACTAGAGCCGAAGCTTTTCGGAACCTCAGCATCTCGATCACATCTAACACAGCATCGACAACATGTGCATCTGTACTGTGCACCACTTTGTGCTCTCTCATGTGAGATCACACGGACGAGAATTGATTCACGGCCTTGCATGCGCCTTGTGCCACTTGCGCCCAGACTAGGTCAACGCAAGTGGCAGTCGGGGAGTCGGGCATAGCCTGTCCATGCCTTCACGCATCTCAAGGATGCATGGGCCAGCCCGTAAAACTAGACGATCCAGAGCGCAATTCGTTAACGGTTGATCTTGTATCGATCATATGGGAATGAAAATAAGAAAAATAAGGGTCCTGGCCAATAATGTGAGTTTCCCTTTGGTCTCCCTTTGAACTAAGGCCACGGTAACCCACGGATACAACTATGTTCCCCAAGAGGACGGTGGCAAATTGGGTGGTCCCCCTGTCTTTGGCTCCCCAAAGCAACAGTAGACTACCGATATTCGTTCATGTAGCCGTGCGAGCTTGAAACTGGTCTGTGTTGGAACACTGTCGGCGTCTGTTCTTCTTAATTTGTAAATTGGATTGGGAGCCGTTTGCGAACAAAGAACGGTCAGGTGCTGCAGAATCATTCCAATTGAAATTTGGAATCAGATCTGCGTTGCTTCACTTAGCCGAACGGGCCCTGGATGGCGCCTCTCTGCCAGGACTGTTGAGCTTCCAGGCGGAATCCGGAGAGGCCCTCGCGGCGAAGATTGCCCGCCCCAAACCAGGGTAGTTTTTAGCCAGCCGGAGAGGCTGCAAGGGCTCCTCCCTGGAGCTTACTGCGCCCGGCAAAGGTCACCTGCACAAGGCTCAGGCTTATGCGCAGGACCAGAGCCATCTTGCATCCCACTCCGATCACGGCAAGAATAGATGGCCGTAAGACAAAACGCAGTTGCATGCATTCTTCGGGGTGGTCATTACGTGCATGTCCTGCTTGCAGCGTCCACACTCGCTCGGGCACGCATGCATCATGATAAGCATGCCCGCACAAGCGCAGCGCTAATGGCAGTTCAGCTTCATCCTCCAAGCTCGCCCATGCGCGGGTGCATGCTCGTATCACAAGAAGCAACCCCGCCCACGCACTCGCACAGCGACAGTGCCGTACGCAGTTTCAAGCACAGAAAAAAAACACATTTCTCACGTGCGCCTACAGTCGCTCGTGCGCACGTGCTCGTATCACTGACAAGCACACCCACTCAAACACAGCGCTAGTGGAACATGTGGTTGCAAGACAGGAAAGCACAGCTTGCCCACGCGCATCGTAATATATTCATATCTGCGCGCGCAGTGGTCGCGCCATGCCAAGCAAACCAGCGGCGTTGGCAGTTCAAGTAATGACGCTCTCGTGCACGTGCTGCACTGGTGGGACGCGCAGTTTGAATCTGCGATAAGCAGGATTGATTCACGCGCGTGCCTTCTCGTGTGCTTCTGCTTTCGTCGCAACAAGCAAACCTGCACAGGCCCAGCGCCAGTTGCGCGCTTGTTTCAGAACTCATTCGTACACTTTCTTCACGTGTGCCCGAAATCGCGCGCACCTGCCTCTCATGCCCTTATGAACCGTGTGGCGCCAGTGGCACGCATACCTTCGCGCAATGGTAGGCACAACTCATTCACAAGCGTGCATGCTCGCATGCGCATGCGCATGGCAGGAAGTGGCTGAGCGAAGCTCGGACAAAAAGCCTAAAAAACTGTGCTGACAAGTAGTTGAGGGCGCTGCTTGTGTCAAGTGCTTGCCCATTACTGTGTGGCAGGCGAGTTGCATGCGTTTCCCTCCCTATCAATGCTCTCATGTCAAGCTCCCCAAAAACAGAAATGAGTGACCGCCTAGCAGTGAAGGCACAAATAAAGGTTGCGGGGCTCGGCTTTCAAGAAACCCTCATGGTCATCTATGAGCCGTGGATTGAGTCAGTGTGTTCAATAGCGGCTATGTCTGGGGCATCTGGTTAGTCCACTGAGTAGCCATGGTCGCAACCCAGTCTCCACTCCACGCAAACCCTGCCTCGCACATCTTCAAGGCAGAACGGATGGGGAAAATGAGGCCATTGCCCCAGAGCTACGCGCTACATCCAAGTCCCGTAACAAGGGCCGGGCGAAACAAAAAGATCAAACTTTCTGAGACTTTCTGTAGCATGATTCTCCAATTGGCCAAGATTTGATAACTAACGAGAGACGTGCCAAACTGCTTGCACTCAACTGATTTGATTGGGTGTGACGGGCTTAAGATTCCCTTGTGGCTGTGCGGGTGTGTCTGTGCCGCCATCAGGTTGTGTCACACTCGGATGCCATGACACACAGTGACACGTGGGCGACATGCCCAGAGGCGAAAACCCGGGCAGCCAAGATTCAGGGCCGTCCCTGCCTTGTAACAGTGGAAACATCATGTCGCTCAACACCCAACAGGCTCTTCATGCAGTTCAAGAGATGGTCAACAAGTTAAACCCGACCGACGAGATGCCCTCAGTTCATTGGACGGCCATCAGGAAGGTCTCGAGCTGCCCTGCCACTCTCAATTGCTACTGCTCGACTTGGTACCGAGACCTGGTACCCTCCAGGCTAGCTTCAAGACTTCGTAGAACTTCCTTCTTGCACTCAGTGCCTGATGCTCTACCATAGGCAGTGTGAGAAATACAGCAGCTATTTGCCACATGGTTGAATCCAACGACGCATGTGTTTGTGATCCCCACCATATCTTTGGCCTTACCTTGCTTTGGGGGTGATCCTATCTCGTTTTGAACCTAATTCCGTATGCTACCCCCAAAAAATGGGGTGCGCCAGCCTCTACTGTAGTCTTCTGTAAATGAAAGGAGTCGCTCATGTGCAGACCGCGCGAGATGACGTTAGCCCGTCCCTGCCTGGTGGCCTAGGCAGTAGTAGTCTCAGCAACCATGGTCTCCACCGCCTGCCAAGCAGTCTGATTCCTCAAGCCAATCTGGCATGGCGTTCACAGGCTCGGGCCAGCCAAGTTCTCAAACATGTTCAAACCAAAAACACGGGTGACCTGCATAGGGCGTCCCTCTACAGGGGCCCAGGGTCTGGCTGCTTCACGGTTTACCCGATGAACATTTGAGCTATCCGTGACTCCGCCTCTTCCTCGGGCTCCTCCTCTTGTGGCACCTGCTGTCTCAGGACCTTGACCTGGCCAAGCGCTACAAGTCTCTGGGACTTTCGGCACTGGAGTCCATTGAGTCCGCGGTAAGGCCCCCTGTTTTTGCAACTGGGCGTGTTTTGTTGAGGATAGCCCTTTTGGGTTGGGCTCCAAGGGAAATCCAAAGGAAAACCGCCAAATCTGTCTTTTTTTGGGGGAGTCTCACTATGTTGACGTATACCCAACTCATGCAACCCGCCGCAAGCGCAGCTCAAGGCAGCCACAAGATCTCAAGGCAGCGGCCCCAGGCCTCCCCATCCTTGTCTAGATCCACCAGAACGTTCTCACCTTCTGTCGAAGGCCTTGGACTCACTCACCCGAAAACAGTCTTCTTTGTTGTTGTTTGTGTGTGTTGTTGTTTTTTTCCGCATAGCTATTCCCTCGGCAGATCCAAACTTCAAACCCCGTTGCGATGCGACACGATGCGTCAGCCAAAATGATGCGCAAGATATGGGATGCAAGCTGCATGCAGTTGCAAAGTGATGGGGTAGAGGAGATCTAAGAGCCACCCGGCTATCTCAGCACCCTTTAATGTTGACCTTACACGGCAGGCACAAGGATCTCACTAGGCACTCGTTGGCCAAGCAATGGGCCTGTGCCAGGAAAACTGTGCTCTATCTACAGTCCCGAGATTGTCTCGGGCAATCTAAATACTTGAGATATTGGCTGTCAGGGCAACACTCTGGCGGCTGGACCCTTCTGCCCAATCCGCTCTTTGTGGCCATTACTTTACACTCAAAGAACTGATGCTGGGCCTCTTGTCGCACAGCTTGGCTCACACGACAACGGCAGCTTCCTTCTTGCATAAGCACCCGAGCCGGGTGACACCAATGCAGCGGTCCAAATCCGCACAGGAAGCAGCCCGCAGAGGGGCAATCCTGCAGCAAGCAACCAGCTTGGACCATGCAAAAATGCAAGCCGTCAAGTGGTTGTGGAATGAAATCCTCTCCGCTGGCAAGCTCTGTCGTTGCTCTTGCAGCAATACTTAGTGTGGCAGTTTCTCAAGCCTCCAAATGCCTCCAGTCTGCAAGCAGCCAAGATTCTGTAGACTGTGTGACAGATTGGCAGTCAAAGACGCCCACAGGCGGTTGAAGTCCTTGGACATGCCGAATGAAGTTCCACATGCAACTCAAATATGTAAACACGGATCTGCCGTATGGGAAGCTTATGAGGGCGTGTGAATCGATCTCCTGATGCCACTGTGACTTGGAAAAGTATGCTGGGAGGGCTGTATGCCTAGTGCACACGATATAGAAGCGCAATTGTCTGTGCGCGTACTGTTAACTTGCGGGGCGTGACAAGTGCTGCGAATCCCAGTGCCAAGCGCTGTGCCACGCTTCAAGTCAAAAAAGACTCCAAGCATTCCTAAAGGCGTACCAAAATCTGTGGTCTGTCCCCCAAAAATGCATTCTACAAGCGAGATGGAAGGATTCGATACAAACTTCTCGCTACAGCGGCACCCACGTACATCCAGCAAAGCGCTTCAGAATTCCTTTCAGATCCCAGGAAATGGCCATGAATCTTAATGGGAACGGCCAAGTCTTTGGACATAGCTCCCACGGTTTGCCGTCCACCAAAGGTGCCCTCCCAATCATACCAGCAATAACCGAACGCCTCATTCAAATGCCTCCAGGTCGCTGCCGGCTCTAGGTGCCTCCGTCTTTCTGAAGCCAGCAGTTGCCACGCCGCGGAGAAAGCAGCAACATCTTCGGCTGCCGCCGTCGCGTTCAGGGAGGAAGTCCTAGGCGTTGCTTTTTGCCTGTGTTTGTTTTGGCCTCTTTCTCAGAAGAACTTTCAAGAACTACTGAGGCTAGGTCAGGTAGCTCTAGTCTAAAGCCTAGACTCCGAAATGCAAATGCCATCAATGTGATAACACCATGCTGCTTTTGCACTTACAGCACTGTGGGACCCCTGCTTCTGACAACGAAGCTTGAGAGAACTGCTATGAACGTTGGGTAGCTCCCTCTAGAGATTGAACTGCTGATTGTACTCCTGTTCGCATCAAGTCAATGGCCTTGGGCATATTCCCAACATCGTTTTGCCGGGTCGGGTCTCCTCAGCACACCAGGATCCATGAGGCGCTGGTTGCTGTAGAATGGGCCCCGCTGCTTCTGCACATCCCAGAAGTGCGGCATGCCTGGGCAAATGGCGAGGAAAAAACATCGCAAGAGTCTTCAAGCATGTACGGAACGATCCAAGCGGCCATGATCTGTAGTGAAGCCGACATTGAGACCCAGAGACCAGACTAGCATCAAGCCGTTCCTCCGACACCAGCGCTGGACCCGCTCGCCCCGATCTGTGCCAAATAGGCTTGGAAACGCGGCAATGATGAACCTGAGCTCGCAGGCACGATCTTACATGCTCATGCCGCCGTGCTTGATACTAGTCTAGACAGTCAGCGGAAAAGGGCATCCCTGGCAAGGCTTCCTTTTCAGTGGCAAAAGAAGCTACATGCCATACCAGCCCATCTATGCGGCAAGGCAGACTTGTAGCAAGGCGCTTCACATGGGTGAACTCGACTCGTGCAGTTGGAAGCACCTGGCAAGTGCAGGCCTTGATGCTTCCGGTGTTGCCGGCTCATAAATATTGAACCGTATGGTGAGTTAAGATCAAAACCCAGTATCAAGGGAACATGCCCAGAATCACCACAGCAGGCATCTTTATGGGAGTGCCCCCCCTCCCGTCCTTTTTATCATGCAGATTTGGATTTTGGCTGTCCCATTGCTTTCCAAACGAGCGGCGCCAAACAACTCTTGTGCCCTGGGCTTGCTTTCGCGGGCCCTTTCGCAACGCTTTCGCGACATGTGTTGCCTTTGCGCGCCTCCTCTGGGCGCTTTCGCGGGGCCTTCATGGCGGACCTTCTTTCGGCACATTCGCGACAGCTTTCGCAAGCTTTCGCGGCCGTGTGGCTTTCGCGGGGGCTTTACACGCGTCCCTTCACTACTTTTCATTCGCAGGCTGAGGGTTGTTTGGCGCAAGAACTCCTCCCCTTTCCCCGAAAAGCTTTCCACACCAAGAGATTTGTTCGTTGGTTCTTTCATGTTCCTTCCACTCACAGGTGCCAACCAGGTCCCCCCGAACTCGACCATCGACACCTCGAAGTACTGCACAAAGTTCTCGCCCACCAGCCCGGTGGAACCTTCCGGGCCCAGCAAGCGCGCCAGCGGCTGCAGGAAGGCCTGCGAGTCGGGACTCCATGGCCCCTACCCCGCATAAATCAGCCCTCACAGCGAAGGCGCCAGCCGAAACCTGTTCACCCAAAGCCCCGAGAGGATGTTTCATGGACGATCACAGCCTCCGGCTTGGCCCAATACCTCTCGTTGATCTCGAAGAGATGATCGAAGGCCTCGCATTCTCGGCCAGTCAAAGCTGAAGCCAAGACCACCCCGAGCCTGGAAGGTGCCAAGACCACCGCGTCCAGAGAAAGCACTGCAGTTGTGTGCATAGCCTGAAGCACGCGACACACGCGACAGACGCGACGCTTTGGGGCACCTTGCAAGCGACCCGAAGGCTTGCCCAAGGTCTCTGGCATGTCTCACCAAGTTCCTTCAGGGGGGTGCTTGGGCCTCTCGAAGCTTTCGTCATGTCCGAAGTTGAAGCTTTGTCCAAGCTGCTGGTGTTCGGCGTCACAAAGGAGTGGTTGCACAAACCACTCCAACTGCCAGAGTCAAAAGGCGAAAGGACCTGAGTGAGCATAGGACAGCTCTGAAGCGGCCACCGAAGGGGACACACCGTTTCCATCTGCACCCAAGTGTTTGGTGGGCATTCTACGTTTGGAAGATGGGGTCGCCTGTGGCAATCCGTGAAAAACGGCAAACTGGCCGTCGAATTTGCACTGAGCATCAGCTGAGCATGGCCGAGCTGCGGACACCCGACGTGCGAAGCTGGGCAGCAAAACCACCGACACGTCGCCGTAGAGCGGAGACCCCTCGTCCACACGCAGAGAGTTCAGCAGAAAGTACGCGCTCCGCTCTCTTGCCTGGCCACTGGCCATGGAAAGGCTGCAAATGGGTCCTAAAAATTCGGCACGTGTGGAACGGGGTGGAGGGAGAAGCGCAAACATGTGGACCGGAGACATCGCCCCGTTCCCAATCTGCGACGTTTCCACGAATGAACTCTCCCAGGGACAAGCCCCTGTTTCGATCCCAGGTTCACGGGGTCCTGATCCCAGGTTTACGGGGTGCAAGTCCCTCGGCCAATCCCCGACGCCTCCGCCATGCTCGTTGGGTGGGCATGCTCCTGGCAGGTTCTCCCCAAGAGCCCATCGACATGGATACCGCAAGTGCCACAGGGCTGCAAGCAAAACTCGTCATGTCAACCAATGCTGAAATTGTACAAAATGGCGACGACCGTCCTGAAAAGGCTTCATGCCAAAATAGCTGCTTTCTACCCAGTCCAAGCAGTGAGTGTAGTTGTTGAGCTGGGCGTGATTTCTCACCCAAATTTCCCACCTCGAGCAAGGGGAGTCGCGCGCTTTCCGTGTCAGAAACCAAGCTGAACCAAGGCGCAGGTTCTCATAGTATGTGACCTTCTCGGCCTCATCCAATGAGAAGGAAAAGAACGAAGCGTTGACCTGGCGTCAAAAAGCGGCAAGCCCATCGTCAGCCAGGGGCAAGTAACATCAACCACATTTCAAAGCAGATGGTGGACGAAATCAATTGAGCACTCGAATTAGCGATATCCAAGCCTACACTTGACAGAATCAGCTAGAACCCAGATCAAGCTGCACCAGCAGGCAAAGCGAATGGGCAACAGCTGCAGTTGCAGCTGCTCGCGGACTTGGGGCCAAAAATATCTGGGGAAGACAAACAGAGATGGCAGGCCCTTTCTCTGGCAGAAGAAGCGAGCAGCAAGAGGCCAAGGAAGGGTGACAGCAAGCAGAGAGCAGGGGAGAACGCGGAGGAGAGGACTGTGGAAGCACGGAAACCAGGTTTGAAGGGATAGCAGAAAGCTTTTCGTCTACTTCGAAAAGACACCTGCGCAAGCCAGAAGGCGCTGGCTCACGACATGGTGATCATGATGGCAGAACATCACCTCAAAGGAGATGAGGAGCAAAGACTACCAAGGCTGGCTGGAGGACAGAGTCGCACGATGCCCAAGAAGCAGAAGGAAGCACAGAAGCAGGCATGGTGGCGTGCCAAAAGGCACACGGAAACTGGGCCAGCGCACTGTGTGAGGTTGCGAGGGAGAACCTTGTTGTTGGTGCCTTCACTCGGGACAACCACCCAACAGCCTGCAGAATGGGCAAATACCGGCAGAAATCGCAGGGCTGATGCCAGCGAGGTCCTTCTTGTGGGGAGAATGGACAAGAAGCCAGATGCTCGCGCAAAGGACCAAGGTTGCCATGGCAACGTTTCGCAGTCAGCAGGGGTTGCAATGGCAGAGGCGGAGCAGAGCACCACACTGAGAAGGTGGAGCTGATAAGACGGAGCAACAGCAGGATGGAAGAGAAAGGCGAGCGGTCCGAATAAGCTCCGGCAGCAGTAAACAACATTGGGGCCATGCTGAGCAGGATGGTTCATGACTTTTTCAGGCAAGTCAAAGGAGCGAATGAGCGCAACTGATCAGAACTGAGGCTGAGCTTCATCTCCCAAGCAGGGGAGGTGGCGCTGTACTGGACCGTCAGTCTGCAACACAGCCTCTACAGTGGGACTCTCTCGCAGCAACTGCAGTCCAAAGTTGACGGAGCAACTGGCAATGGATGTGTCCGTGCAAAGGGCTGCAAAGGAGAAATCGCAAAATGGACGCAACAAGCAGTCGCAGGCGCTGGAAGGCAGGAGCACAGGCGCCTGCAGGCTTGAGCTCTGGGAGCAAGACAAGGAGCATGACAGAGAAGTTTGTCAAGGCGCAGGCAAAACAACGGGCAATCAGCTTAAGGAGGAGAACTGCCTGGCAAAAAGAAGGAAGCAGCTTGCAGCAAGGCCTCAAGCGTCTGCCCGAATGGTCAGGTTTGAGTCCGATGTGCCGGACCGCTAGCACAAGAGATGGTTTGTGGCCTTCTGCTCATCACCCTCTCTTCATACGTCTACCGGCTTTGGGTCAAATGTAGGCTGCTCCTTCTGAGCATATAGCCGAAGGAGATCGCAATGTTTGACGTGGCCAGCGGCAGCTGGGTGGGGAGGTGAACATATTTCTGGAAGTCGAGCAAATCAGCTTGTCGGTTGACATCAAGCATTTCTACGACAGCATAGGCAGAAGCTGTTTCTCCACCATTGCCTCATCATTCATGCGGGGCCATGGGTCTTGACAGCAAAAGGCATGGCCAGCCAGCCCAAGCGAGGAATCATCGTGAGGTGGAGAGCTGGGGAGATGCACCACCGGCAACACAAAGGTCATTGGGACTACGGAGACCCTCAACCACCAAATTGCTTGCAAAAAGAGGATGCAGCAGCGCAAGCAGCGGCAAGACACCAAGGAGTCGAAGGCATAAGGCACGACATTTCTGTAGCCCATGGTATAGGAAGAAACTTGTCAAGGTGTTCAACATATTTTTGCTAAGCAGGCTTGCAAACTGCGGAAACGACGCATCACAGGGCCACAAACAGTCCCCAGGGCTGAACTTCTGGCAAGCCTGCTGCTTTGCACACGCACCACTAGTACACAAGAAACATAGCCAACTGCACAGCAAACAAGACTTTCTTTGCAGAAGCAGCAGCTCACACCTTTGTCAGCAGCGCTGCTATTTGCATTGGTGCAAGGCGCACTGAGACCAGCAGCAGCAGCACACGGATGTATGGGGAAGACCTTGCCTTGCTTGGGCCTGCAAACCAGGAGGCAAAGCAACAAACAAAGCAACTGAGCAGTGCTCAAAACCGATCGAGATTTGGTTGCCCTCACAGTGCTCCCTCGCGGAGCTTTCGCGAAGCTTTCGCGCGCGCGTGTTTTCCTTTCGCGGCGGTTGTTTTGCATTAACCCTTTCGCAGCGCTTTCGCGGCGGCTCCCTCATTTTGCAGGGCAACCTTCCAGTACAAGAATAATAGACCAAGTGAGCTTGGTGTCTCGAGCTTGAAAATTCCAGCTTTTGCACTTTGGCAGCCCCAGCTCAAAAAAGCCGCGACTTTTCTGTACAAGAATAGTAGGCCACCCCTTGGATCCTAGACCCACGCCTTTCGCGGAGCTTTCGCGCAAGTCCCCCCGCATTTTCGAAACTGGCAAACAGCCTGTGCACACTGATGAGCATATGTATACTCTCGCACGGTCAGCGCCGCTTTTTTCGCGCACTGCCTGCCCCAAGCGCCGTCTTCAAGTAGCCCTTTCGCGGAGCTTTCGCGGAGCTTTCGCGGACCGTGTTTTCGGAAAACGCTTTCGCGAGCTTTCGCGATGCAGGGCGTTCCTTTCGCGGAAGCTCTTTTGGGAAACCGTTTAGATAAAGATCATCGTGGGGGTTTTGAGCCCTGCTCAATTGGCAGGAGAGGCTGGCCTGCCGACCAAGAAGGAAAGCAACGACTGGGTTGATGTGTGATGGAAGGCTCAAGAAAGGCTAGGCCACGGTCCCTTGATTGAAGGAAGAGCACCCGGCAACAAGGCTGCACAATCCAGCAAAACAGTTCCTGTAACACCTGGCCCTCACCCACCCGCAGTGGACGGCGTTGATCACTGCACGCAATGCGCACTTTGCGGGCTTGTTTCCCTGACCAAACAAAATCATGGCTATCCATTTCAACAGTGAGCCCCGAAGTGGTGGACACAAATCCCCATGATTGACTACTTATTGACTACTTCGGGTCCAACCCCTTAAAACCCTCCAAAAACATCACAAATCACACTTTTTGTCGATACCAGGTTTGACCGGTTTGTTGGATAATCCCATAAATATGCCCACCATTTCGGCTCCAGCCCCTGAAAAACACACACATCCGCCCGACGAAAACAACTTGGGTAGACAGTTGGATTGGGTTCCCAAACCTTTGGATTGGGTACCCATGTGGGTGTGTCTTAAACTGGCCGAACCCCAAAACTGGCGTCTGCTTTCCCTTTCCTTTCAAATTAGCCCAAAAAGGGCACCGAGCCTCAAGACAGCCCCATATCGATGGATTCATATCGTAGAGAATCATACATTAATGGAATCATTTATGGACCTCTGGGCTTGCCAAAGGGTCCTCAGCCCCACATCACATGGATTCATACGGGAGAATCATATCTGGACGGGGCTTCATGCCAGCAGTGGTTTGTTAGTTGGTTAGTTCGATGGTTAGCTGGGTGGTTGAGGGGTTGCCTGGTTGTTTGCTTGTTTGTTTGTTTGTTTGCTTGTTTGCTTGTTTGTTTGTTTGTTTTTGCTTGCTTGCTTGCTTGCTTGCTTGCTTGCTTGCTTGCTTGCTTGCTTGCTTGCTTGCTTGCTTGCTTGCTTGCTTGCTTGCTTGTTTGTTTGTTTGTTTGTTTGTTTGTTTGTTTTTGTTTGCTTGCTTGCTTGTTTGTTTGTTTGTTTGGTTGTTTGGTTTATCTCCTCCCCTCATGTGGGTACGGCTCAAAGCTAAACCACTGTAAATGGTTTTGAACCCTGGCTCTGGTCCCCAAGGAAAACCACAAGGCACAAGGGATGCTTTAAATCGGGGTCAATCCAATTCTTCCATATGTGCTGCCAATGTCTTAGGGGACCCCCCATATCCAATTCTCATCCCCCGCTTTCGCAAGCGACCGCCGCACGCGCTCCACGCGAGGCGCGCGAAGGCGCCTCAGTGCTGAAGCCCGAGACCACCTCCGCGCTGAGCAGCTCCGCGCGCAGCGCGGAGGCCAAAACCGGCGCCGGCCAGGCCGCCACCTTGAGGCATCCGCATCTCCTTTTTGGGGGTCCCGTGCCTTTTCTTGGGGGTGGAACCAAGAGGAAGGTGATGGTGTTTTGGGGGGGAAACCAAGAGGAAGCTGATGGCGTTTTGCGGGGAACTAAGAGGAAGCTGATGGTTTGAACTAAGAGGAAACTGATGACTATTATTGTTTTACTTTTGGGGCCGGGGGTGCAAGACGACCGTACTCTTAGAAAAGGCCCCACACGTCCACTTCCATGAATGGAAAAAGGGTATAACCATAGTCATAGCTGGGGCAACTAGGGTTAGTCCCCTTGCACATCCAAGTGGGTAGTGCTAAAATGCATCAGGGAGAAGAGGAAATTTGCTAAATATGCAGACCTAGTTGTGTGTGCAAAAATAGGACAAAAACCCCAGCATCCCGGGTCCAGTTGAAACCGAGCAAATGGGGGCCACTCCATTTGCAGCAGCACAGTTAACAGGGAAGACAGTCTAGATGGCTTGAAAAGTTGCCAAGGTGTAAGCTGTAACCAGAGCAGACTATGCGCCAGGAAAGACATCAAGCCCGAAACCGGTGTGTGTGTGTGTGTGTGTCTGTCACAATAGAAGGACACAAGAATGGTGATGGTTCTTTCGGCTTCAATTTAAAAGAACATGAAGAAGGTAGCCTCAAAAACAAACACACACACACACAAATACACCATGCAAGTTGAGCGCACATCTGTTCACTCGTTGAGGAGGGTTATGCAGCCCCTCGACTCCTGCCGTCTCGAATCCGGCTCCCACCTCAGGACAGCAGCGCTGGAGTGTGCTGCGCGCGTCCGGACCTGAGCAACATGGCAAGATGATTTCAAAAATCCCGGGATGAAAAGCCCTTTGATAGGGGTCAATAGGGGTGCGCGGATGTGCTCAAAAGGCATGTTGAAGGGGTCCTGGAATGATGCCAAAACTTTGTCCAACTTCGTCAATGGCTGCCGCTCTCTGCCCACCCACGCTTTTCCCAAATTTGAGTCACGGTGCGGTCCAAGCGCTCAAGCAGCCCTAATGAAGCTGCAGAAGAGCGAGCAGCTGCAGTGTCACTGACCTTTGCAAGCAAGCAACTGTGAGCCAGAACATCGCCCTACAGGGCATTTGCTTGGCGTCAACGTGTCATATGGGTGTCTTTTTTGACGGTATCTTCTTGCCACGGGAAATCAAAAAGGGAACAACACCGTTTGTTGGATCTCCATGGTCTGGATGTGAGTTGCAGCGCCTCGTGTGCCATGCAGTGCCTTGGGTCCCTCACCTGTCGCAGAAGCTGCTGCTGCCAAGCCGTCTGCACGAGCGGCGCAGCCAAGGCCGGCAGCAGCACAAGGCGAAGCGTGATGCTCAGCATCGGGGCATGGAGGAGTGGGTTGAGGAGTTAGTTGTTTCACCTTTGGGCAAAGTTGCCATGATACGCTGTTGTGACTCAGGATTTCAGCAAGCTCCTTAACCTCGTCGAAACTTCTAGGCATGTGTGGGCTTTCTCTTTGACTGCTGCACGGTCTAGGGTTGTTTGGGAAGACGCAAAAGCGTCTTAAGAGTCATGATGAAACTTTGATGCTGACGCGGCTCACCTTGACTTTCTTGGGATTTGATGTGACCCTTGGTCCAAGGGCACAGGCTGGAGCCTGAACCCTCACAAAGTGGCAGTTTCGACTGGAACCACACACAAGGAACCAGCACCAAGAAATGGTGATGGATTGCAGGTCCTCTCCACTGTGCCATCCGGAACACGCGAACACGCGAACACACACTGGGATGCTGGCAGTTCGAGGAAAGATTCCGCAAGCTTGTCCTGTCGCGTGCTTGATGGAAGCCGCAAGCGCACTCTATCGAGTAAGGGCTCCCCGACTGCATCGCTATGGGCACTGGTCTCATCTAAGTCTTCGTTGCCAGAAGACTCGAGTGATTCTTGACCTGAAGGGCCAGGCATCCTTCTGCATCTCAACGCCTCATCTTGATCAAACAACTACACACTGTTTTCGTGTTCAAATCAGAGCCTTCCCAATGTGGGTCTAGGGATCTTCGCATTGCTCAATGACGGCAACAGCAAACAAACAGCGCCTTTGACAGTCGCGCACCCAGCGGTCCTCCAGAAGTCTAGTGATTGCGCGTCTCAGCGGCCGTGCCCCATAGACAGGATTGAAGCCCTCGTCTACAACCTGGCAGATTGAAGGCGACCAAGCCCTGCTTCTACCAGTTCGGCACTTGGATGGGGAATCGCAAGCTTGCGGGCGCTCAAGGCTTCCACAGAGTCTCTTAAATCTTGGGGCCCCGAACTGCTTGCCCGGCTTGCCCCTTCAGACTGATCAAAAACGGGCGGTTCTTTGAAGAGAACAGAAAGAATCAGGCATGCAAATCCATGTGCCTTGGCTTTGTACCGATCTGTCAACAGAAGCTTGATGCCCTTCTCCGTGGTCAGCTTAAAAACCTTCCTGCGCGGGAGGGCACAAGAGTCTGTACTGGAGGAGTGGTTTGTTACGGGTAGAGCTACTTTTCCGGGCGTTTGGACAAGGTAGACTGCAGGACAGACCCTCAACGTCCTGGGCTCCATGGATTTTGCCGTCCTGGGCTTCCCCTAAAGTCTCGTTGCAAAATCTAGGCCCCTGTGAAGGGACCCTGAATTTGTCCCACTTAGATACACATGGGCGAGCTGAGACTCACAGTGCCTATGGACACATTAAGGGTCCATTCAGAAAGGGGCCCATTAGATTTTGCCTAGACAAAGGAAGGGCTGGAGTCAGTGGAATGACATGGAGGCGCTCAAGTTAAGCTTGGAGTGGACTTCGTTCAAGATTTTCTGCAATTCAATATTGCTTAAAGTGACAAAGGCTTGTTTGAACGCTTGATGGAGGGCTTGCCAACCCATCTAGAGTAAGCCGACCGAATCTGAATGTTTCCTATCTACATAGGAATCAATTCATCCAAGGGCATTCACATTCGAGAGCATTTTCATCCAAGAGCATTCGCTCAAGCTCCCTTGCGCAGGCACCCGAGCTCCTGAATTCCAGCTCTGCAATTTGGGCCACCTCCTGCTTGTTGAGAGACTTGAAGACAATGATCTGGCGCATGGAGTCTCTGACTTCTCGACATACGGACACCATTACATATGTTCTTGCTTGGAATCCCAAGCATGACTTGATAGGGGGAAGTGACTCAGCATGAGCTTTAAAGCTCATGCAGCGCTGGCAGAAAGTCTCACGACCTCTTCTCAAGCCATTTGAAGCCTTGGGCATAGGGGGTCAAACCAACAGATGAAACACGTTCAAAAAGAAACTCGGTGCGTTCCTTACAAACCGGGGCGAGGCAAACGGTGCCCAAGCCCGCGATGTCCCATCGCTGGAATCCCAAGTCTTAGCAACCTGAAGCAGCACCGATTGGCGATTTGCGTCGGGCCTCGTCCAATCTGTTTAAAAACTCCGGCCGGAAAAAGTTCTTGAGCTCATCATGCACCACGGTTTTCAGCCTTGACAGCAGCTAGATCAATGCATCAGCTCTTGCACATGGGCAAGCATTCCAACCTGAAGGTTTACATCTGAGAATTGTTAGATCTTATCCTTCAGAGCAAGCACAGCACGGCATGCCGCATGCGAGCAAGAAGCCGCTGGTAGTTGGACGTATCAATGTCCTCGTCAAGGCCAGAGAACCTTAGCAGGAGATTCCGAGGCAAAAGGCAGATTTCAAAGGGAAACCACCAGGCAAACCACCATTTGGGGGTTCTTTCCCCTGCGCCCCCCCATTTGGAAGCAAACCACCATTTGGGGGTTCTTTCGTGTTCCCCCCCCCCATTTGGGGGTCCAGGCAAACCCGTGTCTTGCAGAAGCTTCTGCAAACACGTCCCTTCACCCCATGAAGCCATGGGGGCTGCTGGAACGCCAGTTCTCTTTTTTCCAGCCCGGGCAAATCCAGGAAAACCGAACAAAAAATGGCATGCGTCAAAATAGGGCCCAACAAATGGTGATGTTCCTTGTAGCTGTCCTTTGGACCTAGATGAAGAGGATAGAATATATATATATATATGTGTATATATATATATGCGTACATTCTACATTCGTCGCCTCAATGTGTATTCGTTCATTCGTGTGGTCAGCGCTCTTTATCTATGTATCTATCTATCTATCTATCTGTCTATCTATCTATCTATCTATCTGTCTGTCTGTCTGTCTGTCTGTCTGTCTGTCTGTCTGTCTGTCTGTCTGTCTAGATCTAGATCTATTTATATATATATATATGTCTATGTCTATATCCATCTATCTATATATATGTATACCTAAATATATGAATACCTATCTATATCTATCTAGAGCTATCTATATCTATCTATGTATATATATATATATATATGTGTATATATGTATGTATGTATCTATATCAATCTATCTACCTATATGTATGTATATACCTATCTATATCTATCTATAGCTATCTATATCTATCTATGTATATAAATATATATATATATATATGTATGTATGTATCTATATCAATCTATCTACCTATGTATATATATATATATATATATATTGCCTATGTGTATATATATATATATATCTATATTATCTATCTATATGTCTTTCTTTCTGTCTGTATTTCTTTCTTTCTTTCTTTCTTTCTTTCTTTCTTTCTTTCTTTCTTTCTATCGACCTCCTTGTTGATATATTCAGTTATCTGCATATGTATTTACTTACGTGGTTGATTGCTAATTTATTCATATATGTACTTGTTTATTTATACTAATTTATTTACTTACTTTGTTATGTGTATCTTTGTTTGCGTGCTTATTCTCTTTGATCTTGTCAATAGCATTCTCAGTATACCAACTCTAGGTCGTTCTCCGCCCCCTTTTTCTCGGGGCGGTGCCCAAGACCTCCGCCACCCAAGAGGCCCTTCTCGATGGACTGCGTGCGACGGGCTCTCCGAAACCGGACATGGGGTGCCGGGGTACCGGGTACTTGGCGGCTCAACAAGAAAACCACCCCGGGTCTGGGTCTAGGCTTTAATGTTCGGCAACCGAACCAACGAAAAGGCATTCCTTCTGCCAACGAGGCGATCCCAGTTGCAGAGTGATGGAAGAGCAGGAAAACAGAACCCACCCGCACAAAATGATGATCCCCGCCTTGGCGCCCACGTTGGAGGTCATGATGATGAGGGTCTGACAGCGAGCAGAATTCCGCCGACCCCTGCTCCATAAGGGGAGGCGCACGGGAAGGGTGGATCATGATCATGATCACCATCATCATCGTTGGCTTAATTATTCTCAAATCTCTAATGTGGCCTCTGGGGATACGATCATCATCGTCATCATCAGCATCATCATCATCGTCGTCATCTTCATCGTTTCTTTGTGGAATTTAAATGTGACGTTGGGCCCTGCTGGTGATGCTAGGGATGCAAAGTAACAACTTTGGGAACAAATGCCAATCATGTTTAGGTGTACAGGGCGAGCTCATTTTGGAGGCAAGGGCGACAGTTGGAAACAGATACTACTGGTGTTTAGCTGTGCAGGGACGTGCTGGGATCTGCGAGATAGCGTGGTCGATAGCATCACCAGTGCTTTAGTAACAGAGGCATTGCTTTACCGCTTCCTACATGTAAATATTCCGATAGTTTGTAGACAGAGTGGTCGACGCCCCCAGCATCACCAATGCTTAAGAGAGTAAATTGTTTTTCGCTTGCTAAACGTAGATGTCTCCATACTTTGTAGGTAAACTGGTCCAAATGGATATCAGGCCCTGCGAAATGAACAACATGACAACTTTTGACGGATTTCCTATCCTGAAAATGGTCGGAGCGGCACTGGGCGGCAGCCCTTAGATGCAACTTCAGCTTGCAGGCTGTGAAACTTAGCCTGTCTTCAGGGCTCCATGTTTCTCGGTTCATTTGCCAAAGGTACACCTGGACCCAGTCGATTTTCCCCACCAACCTCAAGGAACCCACGGCTTAAGTTCCTCAAAAAGCTAAAAATCAGAAATGAAAAGCGGCATCAGCTCCATGGACATGGGAACTCTGCAGCCCGGGCGTTCTTGAAGGACACCGTCCTGCCCTTTGAGTCAGTGAGGCGGCCGTCCTGACGACTCGACTGCCACAATTGACTCGGGGGTGATCAATCTTCCTGGCCCCAGAATGACCCTGGGCAACTTTTTCCCATTTGGCGGTAGTCATCTTGTGTGGTGGTTTTCCTATTGGTCCCCCGCATGTAAAGAACCTGTTTGATTCACCCTTGGACAGGTCGCGCGGAATCGAAAGCAGTAGAAACGGCCCGGAAACCAACTGATTGCACTCTTCTTTTGCATGGCGGCGGGCATTCGATCAGCAAATGTCTAATGCTGGGCGAAAAGTACAAGTCGCTCTTGTACATTCTTGATTGCATTGCGATAGACATCGCGCGGATCTTCCGTGAAGGGCCGCATGGACAGGTTTTTGGCCCGCTCTTGCAGCTCGTCTGAGTCCAGAACACCTTGGTCTTTGACCCCCTCTGGGAAGGTCAGCGCTTGTAGGGAACCCGTCAAAAGTCAAAAGACTCCAAAAACGAAAAGGTCTACAGAGCCACCAAGACGCCCTGCAAATATCGCAGGCGCTCCTTCTCGATGGCCTCATCAATTGCAACATAACCTCCTGGCATCAGCTCGATGCACTGGCGGATCGCCTCAGGCAAAGCAAACAAAAACCCAGGCAAGTGAGTGGGCTGGGCAAAAATTTGGGGGTGAGGGGGGGGAACCGTCTGCTGCCGGCTTTGGCATGGCAACCGCCTTCTCATCGTCGTTCTGCGGCAAATTCGGAGCTCCGCAGCGCGCCGATTTCGTGTCCACCGCTTCGCAGGTAGCATCTCTGATGGGGTCGTTGATCAGCTCGCCGCTGCGGATGCCACACATCCCGGCCACGGGTACGGCGAAGCCAAACATCTTCACGGGCACACCTGAAGGACTGAAGCCCCAGGATCAAAATGTCACATAAAAAAGAAACATTGCAAGCACCTCCCAATCATTTGGACATGCAAAGCCTCTTTGCAGAGCTACATACATCTCAAACACACACCACATGCGTGTGTAGATGTTGCAGGATGTAGTGACGACCGCCAGCATGGAGTCCGCGTGGTGCAGCACGTGAGCAAACGGCCCTCGTGCTACGTCTGGGCCGAGCTGCCTCATGGCATGATTCAAAGCCTATGCGAGCCCCCGGCCAAAAAACACTTCCATATTTCTCCAAGAGGACAAGGGGAATATTGAGTTGTCCCCCAGGTGTTGAGAAAACATTGGGTTGCCCTCCATGTCCTCCCCAAACCAACGTCCAGCTACCATCAACAATATTATTAGTGACATAGTGACTTATGTGCCCGCCAAGTCTATCCACCTCTCCATCAGGTCAAGTTTCTTTACGATGGAAACCTCTGGCAGGTCTTCTGGCTGATAAATTGCAAATGCACAAACCCAGAAGGGCCCAGCTACACCCGCATCCACAATGGCTTCGGAAAAGTCTCGATAGTACTCGTCCCAGGCATGGGAGACCATGACTTTGGCTTTAAGCGGCGCTTCTTTGTTCAAGTACAGCCCGTAGCCAGTTCCGGTTCCAGCTGTGGTTGGAATGACAATGTCTTTGACAATATCTCCTTAGGAAGCAACTGTCCCAAGCATGCAGTTATGGACAAAACCCAATCGAGAAAAAGCTGCTAGGTCAGTCAGTGCTCTCATCTTGGAGCTGCCCTCGTCGGTCACGTTCATGATAGTCTTAATCACGCATCGTGAATCCTTTTTGAGGTCCAGAATCTGCGCCAAGGAAACTGCCCAGTGCAATGGATCGTGATTCTGCTGGCACACTCCGCCAAAGGTCGGCGCGTTCACCTCTTCTGTCTCCTTGTCTTCTGCGTTCACCTCTTCTGTCTCCTTATCTTCTGAGAGAGAGAGAGAGAGACAGATAGCAAGAGAGCCGCTCTGCTCCAACAAGGGGCACACCAGACTTGAAAGCTAAGCTGCGGACCTGTCACAGACCTTGCTACTGGGAGGCACCACCCCGAGGTTAGGGATAAAACCCAGACCAAACCGGAGCGCTTTGGCACTCGCCTTCCGCGCGTTCCGTCCCTGCCAAGGCGCCGAGGGTTCGGAAGAATTCTCCGGCTCGATAGGGCACTTTGCAGCGTAGCAGCCCATGGCACGTGGCGGCCGGGACGGGGGTCGGGAGCCGGAAACGGCCTTTGGCAACCTTCGGGATTCGGCCGTCAATCTGTACGCTTCAAGATGTTCATCGGAGTCCTCAAGGATCTGTAGGCACAGGTTGAACACATCCGGGTGCGCCTTCTCCACCTGTCAGAGCGAGAGAGAGAGAGAGAGAGAAAAAGAAATAAAGAAATAAAAAAAGAATCAAAGAAAGAAAGAAAGAAAGAAAGAAAGAAAGAAGCAAAAAGAAAGAACGAGCTGCTTTTCTCGACCCATGCTCTGACCGTCGATTTCTGGACAAACTACCATATGGGTATGTGACAAAACAGGGGGACCCGAACAACATGTAGGCTTTACGGCCAGCAATTTCCCGTGGATTGCACCGTTGCGGCTGTTCAGGGCAAGCCAGGATGCCAACTACACAGCTGCAATCAGTTTGTACATGCACGCAAATACAAAAACAGAACCAACATGTCCGAGTCACAAAAGAGAGTGACCTTTTGATCATGCTCGGAACCGATCTAGTAGTTTTTCCTCAATGGCCACGGCACATATAAATATGGCTACGGAATAGAGCCTTGAGACAGCAATTCCATGCCGAAGGTCAAACGAGCTGTGTGTGCTTTGAGTTTTGGTTAACATGCATGCAATCATACATTCTCACCTTTACATCGTGAGTCAAGGCCCTTCTTCGACTCAGACTCGACCATAGATAGAAACGCCTTGCTGCATTGCTCTCGCATAGTGTACAATATGCCTATCAGGGACTTCAAGTTCTCCACAATCCATCAGACATCAGGTTCTTATCTTGAAACAAATCCAGGGCCACTTAGGCTGCTATCACAGTGGGCATCTTTGGGGTTAGTTCCCCAGTTTGGGTTTACATCACTGGGTTGTAGAAGATGCTGGAAACCACGGAAGATGCTGGAAACCACGGGCAATTGCTGGCCGTTGAGCCAACATGTTGGTGTTCCTTTTGGCTTCCCTTCAAAGCAACTTGATCGGTACTCTCACAAGAGCTCGCAGTAATTGTTTCCCAACTAAACATGGCAATGTGGGAACGCCTCGATGAAGGACTTTCACCATGAGTGAGCTCAGTTTACCCCCAAATGAGCTCGTTGGAATTTGCCCAGAATTAATCACCAACCGGGCGCCTCGTCAAACAGCACCAGGCTGTAAGGTCGACGTCGCACACCGTCAGTCAACTGGCTCTCCTGGCTTGGATGCTTTGCATGCAGTTGACCCACGCCATTTCTGTGCACGCCAGCAAGGAAGAACGCAAGCAAGGAAGAACGCCAGCAAGGAAGAACGCCAGCAAGCAGGGGCAGGCGGCAAGCAGGCAAGCAAGAATGAGGCATGCTCCACAGTACCTACTCAATCAAGCGCGCGTACAAGATCAGGCAAATCACACACGTGCACAGCCCAAAACAGATTTGACAAGAAAGCATAGAATATTCAAGCTGCACAAAATGTAACATGCGGCACGCAAACCAGTGACGGCTGGTGAGGGGTAAGGGAGAAAGAGAAAGAGCGACAGAGGGAGAGAATGAGAGAGCGATAGAGAGAGAGAGAGAGAGAGAGAGAGAGCGAGAGACGTAGCAATCGTTGCCTGCCTGCATACAGTTGACTGAAATTCTGAAAGGAGGGGGATGATCTGGTCAGGCTTGAGATACCTGTTTGAGAGAACGCCAAAAAGGTTGGGGCCATAACCTGGGCAATCCTTTGAGGCGTGAATCCAAGCTGGTCCCACCTCGTCATAACCCACATAGCCAGGAGGGCTTCCGATCAGCTTCGAGACTGTGTGCCTGGCTCCAGACTGTGCTTTCATGGCCCAAGTCATTTGATCTCACCAAGCCTTTAACTGACGACAGACATAGAACGACCAGCTTCTCATTGCTGTGGCTCAAGATTAAGGAGCTAGGGTTACGCAGGTGTTACTCTTCGGTTCCATTTGCCAAGGAGGCCATGTTGGTACATTTATTTGAGCCACTGCCTTATGACCCGAGCTCTGTTGCAGTCTGCGACGCGAGCATTCGGCTTCGAGGTCACCGCCTCTCCATGAATTCCTTGGCGCGAAGCAATCGGCGCGAATCGGTGCGCGTGTGTGGCAAGCGGATCCTTCAGCCGAGGTGCACTCATGTCCAGGCGAATCATGGCGTCCTCCTTTCCAAAGTAGGCAGCGGACAGTGCCTGGAGGGAAGGCTGAGAACAAAGCGCTCATCACTAAGGGAATCAGATCTAACCCTCAACTATGCCACGAAGAAATGACACGAGGTGTACGGCTTGAGCCGGATACCATTCCTTGAACCAAGGAGAGGAGGTGACAAGAGAAGGGTGTTCTTGTTGACCAAATTCATGCATGCCAAAGTAAAGCAATTTGCTGAAGAGTGTTTGCAACTGCAAGTTCTGAATCGCTCAACCGGGTCCTCTACATGGATTGTTGTACCATGCATGCTGCTAGTTGCTACTGCTCACTGCTCATTCGTGCCAGAGTAGCTAGATTCTCCTTGGCACTAGAATTGGATTGGAATTGGATTAGAATTCAATTAGAATCCTGTATGGAAGGCAAGCTGATCGTTTCTTCTGATTTGCCTGCCCTCAAAAGGAGTAAAAACCAGACAGAAACTCGAGGAAAGTGCAATTTAAGTGCTTTTTTATTGGTGTACAAGTGTTGAATTGCAACGCGCTAACTTGAACTCATATTTAAATTGCATCTTAGAAAATTATGTTGAATTAGAAGTTTCATACCAAGTAGAATGCTAATTAGGATTAAATAGAATCTAATAGGGAAAGACAGGCTTGCTATGTTTTCTCCAATTTGCAAGCCCCATAAAAGGGGTGAAAAACCAATAAAAATCAATGAAATGCAAATCCAGTCCAATTGGTGTGCAAGCGTTAAATTTCAAGTCTTTACGTTTACATGGGAGTTCGAGTAAAGTTAAAGTTGAATCCCTACTTTGAAATATATTTTCAAACAGTACATCCCTTTCAAATAGGGTTCAATTAGAATTCAACTAGAACATTGTTTAGTTCAAACGTCAAACAGGAATGTATTTTCAAAATATGAGCTCAATGCGAGTTTAATTCGGATTCTTATGTTGACTGATAGTGTAAACGTCCAATTCAATTCTAAACAGCAAGGAACCGTCCAAGTATGATTTTAATTAGAACTTAGTTAGAACTTGATTAGAGTTTGATCATAATCCAACTAGAATCTAGTAAGGAGAGCCAAGCTCGCTGTTTCTTCCAAGTATATAACTCTTATTTTGAATTAGATTCTGAATAGAATTCCTGTCCAAGTATCTAGGATTCTACCTTTTTGCGAATGAATGACCTTCCCTGCCAAAGTGTATTGGCCATGCTAAGCGAATCTGTGAAGCCCGCCTTGCAAAGCTCAGTCTTGCCAACACCTGTGGGGCCGCAGAAGATGAAGGATGCCTGAATCAGAAGCATCAAAAGAGGAAGCCTTGTCATTCCACTTCTCTCGACTGAGCTAGACAAGGACTTGCCTGGTGGGAGCTTTGACACATGCCAACTTCGGAAGACTGTTCACCAGTGACGGATTGATTTGTGTTCCAGGGAGTCCTATGACTAATAGTATGGTCCTCCGGATTCCTCAAAAGTTAACATTAATAATTTGGCGAGAACGCTGCAGCCAATTTAGATGCCAAGCTGCAATCGGGCGGTTTGGATTCTTCAAGCCGGAACGAGCACGTCGCACAGCCTGGCTGGGCCGACTGTGTCTCGGTACCCATCCGGGCAAAATCCTAGCGCCGATCCTTGGACTAGCCTGAGAACTTTTGTGGGGAATGCCCTCCCCGATCTGCTGGCGCCTTGGAGACAGCTGTGACTGCCTCCTCCTGGCCAATGACTCTGTCGTGCAGCGTCTCCTGTGGCTCAAATGCACCAAGCTACCTCACAGCTTAAGCTCCGTCTGACAGCATGTCTTCGGCGTCAGCATCGCCAGGCTCAAGGAAGGGTCACGTGAAAGCGGCACACTGACATCCCAGCCTCCAATTGCACGAGCCGTGCTGATTCGTCACTGCTGACCTTTTCCACCGGCACACCAGTCCACTTGGAGACCACCTGCACATATTGGATGTGCACAGCGGAGCCGTGGTGGGTGTCACATTGTACGGATAGGTTGAAATGCTCCCATGTTCAAGTTGCTGGGTCAAGCCAGTGGCCATGCTGACAGGACACCAAGTTCACGCTATGTACACTCTTCGCAGTGGATTGCCTGACATGCAGCTATAGTGACGCTTCCTCAGGTCTGCCATTTGGTGCCTCCTTTGCATCGCAAGGAAATGCCACATTGAAATGTCGCTTCCTTGGCGAAAATCTCCCTATGCCTGGGCCACATCAGCCTCTGTGACAATTGGGATTTCCTCCTGCGGCAGGCATTGCAGCAATATCACATGCGCAAAGAGGCGTTCATACGCCTCGATCTACAAGCATGAGCGCGTGTTAAAATTGGAGGCCACAACAACGTCTGCATGTGTGTGTGTATACAAATATGTATGCACGGCATGTCTTGCACGCAATGCATGCACGTGCTCGTATGCAAGTAAGCAAGCAAGTAAGTGCTTCAGCAAGTAAGTCAAAAGGTAAGTAAGAGTGGATGGATAGATGGATGAATGTATGGATGGATGTATGGATGTATGGATGATGCAATGCGGCGCAACGTGACACTCAGCAGTGTAATGTAATGAAGTGCAATGCCATGTGCTGTACTGTAACATAGTGTAACGTTGTGTGTGTGTCCTGTATAAATGTATGTGTGTACGTGTGTATGTATGTATGTGCATATGTATGTATGTATGCATGCATGGCATGGCATTGCATTGCATTGAATTGCATTGCATTGCAGTGCAGTGCAGTGCAGTGCATGGCATTGCATTGCATTGCATTGCATTGATGTATGTGTGTGTATGTATGTATGAATGTATGAATGTATGAATGTATGAATGTATGAATGTATGAATGTATGAATG